GCGTGTCAGTGCTGACATGCATGCCATAGGTTCACCATCACGGGCCTATATGGTCTAGTTTCCTAGGACAGGAATGGCCATATCTAAACAGAGAGAACAGGCAGCAAAGCAAACACAAGAATTCCCTCTTCTCTTTTCAAGTACAATACACATCCAGGCAATGCAGAACAATGACAGCAACAACAACAATCTATTAATCACCTGTCTCTTCACACTGCTCAAAACGGGACTCACAAGCACTGTGAGGTTGAAATCTTTCATTGGGTCACTTGGCATCTACTCTGTGTGCCTATCAACTGAAAAGAGGGCTTTCATTCAGGGTGGGATTCCCCATGACAATCATGGCAAGGAAGCATATGCTATTAGCAGTTTGCATTTTATTCTGTGCAAAATACACAAATTAAAAAATTTTTGCACAGAAAATATTACAATTTTTGCAGGAAATACTGTTCCCTGTGTCAAAAATACTGTTTTCTTTCTGAAAAGGTATTTTTATCATGTCAGAAGCAACTTGAGAAATTGCAAGTCGCTTCTGGTGTGAAAGAATTGGCCATCTGCAGGGACGTTGCTCAGGGGACGCCTGGATGTGTTACCATCCTGTGGGAGGTTTCTCTCATGTCCCCGCATGGGGAGCTGGAGCTGACAGACGGGAGCTCACCCTGTCTCGCGGATTCGAACCACTGACCTTCAGGTCAGCAGTTCAGCCGGCACAGGGGTTTAACCCATTGCACCACAGCGGCTCCTTGCACAAGATAATTATGTGCAGTTTTTGTGCAAAACACATCTTATATTGCAAACAGTCTTGTTAGCCCAGGATTATCCTTTCTTTGCAGTTTGCTTCACTGGATTGTTTAAAAGTTTTGGAGTGGGTTTTTTTTTGGGGGGGGGGGAGAGAGATAATATCTTAAACAGAAAGAATAAATAAAAATATATCCTGCCTGACATCACTGCAGTGCTGACACTGGTGTTCTGTTATGAAAGGTTGCAATTCACACCAACCTCAAGAGTACAACAAGTCTAACAATATTTCCATCACTGGAAGGTGATGAATTCATCCCATTGAGATTTAAGAGTTGGAAAATGCTTCCCTTGGGATATAGGTGGGAAACACTGTTAGGATATGGCCTTTCTAATTTAATTCAGAATAATATTAGGGAAGCTGTAACTGAAGCTTTCATTATGCAGTATTTGAGACAGACTCATTAAAATTGACCAGAGAACTCTCCCTCATGCAACACAACAAAAAGTCCACAACATGAGAGTTAGCCATACGGTCATCATATCAAAAGGACACTTCATAGGTACTTTGCTCCCAGTATGAAACAGAAGACCATTATGCAAGAGATTCCCTGAAATATTCATATTTGTGACACTGTTTCATACATTATAATTTTTAAGCATAAGAATTGGACCAAAGTCATGTGTGAAATGCCCTTTTTGCACTGAGAACAAAAAGGACAAAGCCCTTGTCACTCATTTTTCGTTGGCTGAATCCATTAGTTACCTGAGTTCAACGCGTGACTTCCAGTTATAGAAATCCTCCTTGACAGGGAGAAAGCTCACAGAGAATTTACAGTTTATGTTTGTTGTTAAACAAGGCCGTGCTTAACATGGCAACCTGTGCCTCGTAAAACCAGAAACGTGGAGTTATAAGTAGAAACTTATTTGTGTTTCATTGGGAACTGCTGCCTTGTTCATTTTGGAAGGGGAGAGCAGCAGGTAAAGCAACATTGTCCAAGTGAGGCACCTGCGGCAGGTGATAATGTGCAAGTCATTCCAAAGAAGAACTTTGAACAGTGTCGGTTGATTGAAGTGATTTAATTCATTTAAATCAGCAAGAAGAAGAAAAAGTTTAAGAAAAGGTGCCATTGAATTCATTTCAAGTATTGGTTAAACAATGGTGCAAATTTTACAACTAAATGGAATATTATTTACATTGGGTTGTTGTAAGCATTTCGGGCTGTCTGGCCATGTTCCAGAAGCATTCTCTCCTGATGTTTCGCCTGCATCTATGGCAAGCATCCTCAGAGGTTGTGAGGTCTGTTGGAAACTAGGAAAATTTTTAAATGTGTGGAATGTCCAGTGTTCTGTGGCACGCTGGGCCTGTAAATAATTGTCTTAAAATAGGACGTGCGACTTGAGCCCAGCGGGAAGCCAGGGGGCCCCCGAAGAGAAGCTCTCAGAGATTTTCCACCACAAATGATCCTTAGATGGCTTGTGAAGTATAACAAAGTCCTTTATTAATGAACAATCAAACAGAAACTTCTCTTGTCTTCAGAAAGTTAAACAAATGATTCCAGGCTTTTATGCAACTGGTGGCTTCCTAATCCTGTCCACAAAGCACAAACAATAACTAATTCTTTGCTTTGAAGGAAAATCCTCTTTTTTAACTTCTCCCAGGCTGACTGTAATTCAACCCTTACTGATGTGGGCTCCGCTACCGGGTCAAACTGCGTCTCGAAGCACTGAGTGGACCTACCAGTAAAGGCTTAGATATTCTCCAGCTGGAGTTCTTTGGTCTTTAGGGCTGTTCTCCTGGAAGTCTTTGGAGACTCTTAAGACTGTTTTGCCCCAGAATGTCTTGGATGCTCTTAAGACTGTTTTTCCCCGGAAAGTCTTAAGGGTTGAAGCTTTTGTACAGGGGAAGCTTGCACAAGTTTTGTACATTAGCTTTCCTTGCTGAGACTAACTAAAAATGGCTCCCTTCCCTTCAGAATTGCCCTGAGCAAGGGGCGGAACCAAACTTAACGATGATGGACAGGTGATTTGCCCTATGACTGCAACCAAAGGAAGCCACCTATCTGCAGAATCCCAGGAACCTTGGACTGCAACCAAACATTTAATACAAAGCAAATAAAGTTGGAGCTCCTGGTATAGCCATACCAGAACAATGCTGCCTAGTTCAAAGAAGAAATTCACCTTGCGGTGTGTTTTGTGGAACCTTCTCAGAAAATCCCCATTCTATTTGCAATTATTTCAGAAAAGAAAGTATAAAAAGAGCATGAAGGTCTAAACTTACTCGTGACATCCAAGAAGGTATTGGTCTGCATCTCTCCAACTGCATTCCTTGCAAAACACTGAAAGATCCCAGAGTCATCAGGCTGCAATCCCTGGATCTGAAGACTTCCATTGACCAGAACCTTGTAACGGGGATTCAGCAATTTGAGGACAGGGACGGCATCCTTATACCACACCAGAGTAGGAAGAGGGACCCCTGCCCAAAACAAACACCAAGAGAGAGTCTTTAGATATGCATACACACAAGATATCATTCAAGATAACTTATCACCCATTACAGGCAGTCCTGAAGTTACAAACATCTGACTTACAAATGACTCATAGTTAAGAAAGGGAGTGAGACAACGGGTCCACCACCGAGAAGGACCTCCCTTTTGTTCCCACCAAGCGCACTTGTGATGGTGGTGGGATCGAGAGAAAAATGATTTCAGGACACGAGTGGTCTGGTATGAGGAGATACATTCCCTCAAGAACATAACATGCATAACAACTTGTTTCTGTGGAGAATGAAAGGCATATTATGTCCCCTAAGAACACAGCCACAAACAAAAAAGCTGTTTTTTAAAAAAGGAGGGCATATTGGAGCAGCCATGAAATTATATTTTTGTACAATGATGCAATCAGTTCCCGAAATCACATGTGAAGTTTCCATTTTGCTTGAATAACAAAGCTATGGATTGCCCCAAACAGTCATCTTTGTGGTGCTGTGTGTGTGCAGTTTGATACCAAATAGAAACAGTGCACCATTGTAGAATAAACACAATTTAAATTTCATGCCAAAGGCCTGTCTATGTACAGTCTGATTGTCAGAATTCTCAATGCAAATGTTATTAATCCCAGGAAATCCCCTCTGGGCAAATACAAATTACTGCTGAGTAACGCGGAAACAGATGATACAAAAATGGAATAGTCCTCTAGACAGAGGACGCTGGAAGTGCTTTGAAGCTTAAATAATGGCAATTGTGGAAAACAGAAAAGAGTAAAGCCTGGCATTAGGCATTCCTCTCTCAATTGTGAGCCCCAGAAAATAGGATTCCCAATCCTGGAGAGAATTTCCACGCATAGCAGAAATTCTCCTGTTTGGACCTGTCATCTTCCATATGAGCAGAGTAACAGAATGCTGTTACTGAACCAACAAAATGTAATTTTTAAAAAATTTCCAAAATTTCCATCTATTGAAATTAATGCACTTACAAAGTGCCCACATGTTCAAGAACCCTTTGAATCTTTTTTTTAGAAACCCGCAAAAAATACCTTGCATTTTAAACCTTTGCAACAGGCATAATTGCAGAGAAACTTGGCTCCCAAGAAAATTCCATTTACAGTGAAAGAGAGAGAGAAAAAAGCTGTAATTTTATTTATAGTTCATCTAGCTGTATCAAGTAAATTTAATCTTTGTCTCTCACGCTCATGGTGTGCAAAGATGGAATAAATGGCTTTTGTGCCAAAGGACCCCATAGGAGTTGTGACAAATTGAGACTTCCTGCCTGTTTACGGTCAGGGCACTGAGCCGCTCCATTATGCTCCCAGGGCTATTATTCAAGCACCTGGGCTGGCATGCTCCCATTTCATTTTATGTCCTTCCTGAGATGCTGGGCTCCACCAAGCACAGCTTACAACAAACAGTAACACAGTTAGTGCCTATTGTAGACCTACAAACTACAGCACCAAGGGACCCGGAAATTGAGCACGTATTCTGGAGGAACACCAACCAGGTGAGAAGCGTGGAAACCATGATCTTCGTTTCTTTTATGCTACACAAAAGACCCAGGTGAGTTTCAAGAAAAAATGATGGGACTGATCCAATGTCACATTTTAAGTCATTTGGAACTCTAATTGATAAGAATCTAAGAAATAGGATGATCTGGATAGCCTGAACATTACATCATTACCTCATGGGCCATCCAGTCCAACCCCCTGCCAAGAAGCAGGAATATTGCATTCAAATCACCCCTGACAGATGGCCATCCAGCCTCTGTTTAAAAGCTTCCAAATAAGGAGCCTCCACCACACTCCGGGGCAGAGAGTTCCACTGCTGAACGGCTCTCACAGTCAGGAAGTTCTTCCTCATGTTCAGATGGAATCTCCTCTCTTGTAGTTTGAAGCCATTGTTCCTCGTCCTAGTCTCCAGGAAGCAGAAAACAAGCTTGCTCCCTCCTCCTGTGGCTTCCTCTCACATATTTATACATGGCTATCATATCTCCTCTCAGCCTTCTCTTCTTCAGGCTAAACATGCCCAGCTCCTTAAGCCGCTCCTCATAGGGCTTGTTCTCCAGACCCTTGATCATTTTATTCACCCTCCTCTGGACATGTTCCAGCTTGTCAAGAATAGACCTGCCCAATTTAGCAGCCCTAATAAGCAAATTACACTTGCTATGTTTTAATTAGTATGCTTGGAATTAGTCCTTGGAAAGCATTTTATTTTAAATGGAATTCTAAATATTTTGAAGGTTTTAGTGATTTCCAAACACCTTTCAAGTAAAGTGCAGCGGAGAGTTTGCAACCACAGAAGTGTAACTACACTTAAATGTTCCTCTCCCTGACATTTTCCTTCTGCTACAGAAGCACTATAATTTTAAGAAACAAGGCGCTTTAACTATTGCAATTATTGATTGTTTCTCCACAAGCCCCAGTTATGGGTCCCAGAGCCACTATTTTGCTTCCATTAATTCACTCGGATCAAGACACTAATCCCTTTTAGCCAAACACATTTGTTGAACCCATCCGTTCAGGCAAGAAGCACAAACAACTCAAGAGAAGCAGACAGGCATGATTCATCCTTTTTGATGAATTTTTGGATGTTTTAAAAAATTGTTTTAATTTTGTTTCTACGGAGTGTGTTACCTAGAGAATTGCACTTTATAAAGCAATAAACAAACAAGCAAAACACAGTTCCCGCACGCAGCCAACAGCAACTTTAATAAAGAGGTGAAATGGTCAAAACCGCAGCCGTTGTTCACACCTCACTTACCCATCGCCTGGCACGGGATGGACACCGTCTTCTCCACTTCCACCACAATTCGGCTTTTGGGTTCAACAGTAAAATACGGTGGCTCTTAAGAAAGAGTAACCAGAACAGTGTCAGAGAATGAATTGATACAAGCCAAGCTAATTTATTTATTTAGTTATCTATTAACTTTATTTGT